TTGCCGGCATCGCCAAGGTCGCCTACACTGCCAAGGTCGCCTACACCGCCGAGGTTGCCGGCATCGCCAAGGTCGCCTACACTGCCAAGGTCGCCTACACCGCCGAGGTCGCCTACACCGCCGAGGTTGCCGGCATCGCCAAGGTCGCCTGCACCAGGTTGCCTAGCTGCAGACCCATCACACCGTCAAAATCCGAAATAGGGCACATTAGCAAGATTATAACAGAGAGACCGTTAGGAACGTCGTCGAATCTACAGGAACATTTGTTCCTGTAGACAACAATAAACCTTTGGAAGAACACTCGAATGAACTTCGTGAAGTACTCGAATGGTATAGAAGTTTCCCCAAAATTCAGAAACAATCTGTAGAACAATCCGCGAAATTCATTAACTTCGACATAATAGATTTTTACCCTTCGATCACCGAGAGCCTTCTGACAAAAGCGGTCGACTACGCAAGCAAATACACGGAAATCAAAGAGCACGAGAAAGACATAATTCTTCACACTAAGCGCGCATTAGTATTTAACAACGAAGAACCTTGGATAAAGAGAAATAACGTAAGCGGATTAGATATCGGAATGGGATCCTTTGACGGAGCAGAATCATGCGAACTGGTGGTCTGCTACATGCTGTCCTTACTACAACCGAAGTATGGGAATTAGCTGAGTCTATACAGAGACGGCGGCCTCGGAATTCTAAACAAGACACCAAAAGAAATCGAAAACCCGAAGAAAGAAATCTGCAAAACTTTCCCGGACAATGGTCTACGAATAACGATTGAAGCGAACAAAAGAATTGTAAATTTTTTGGATGTGACCTTGATTTGAGCTCGGAACTACGCATGCCGTACATTAAACCAAACAACAAATTACAGTATGTTAACATCAATTCTAACCACCCACCGGGCACCGGCTGTACTGAAAAATATCCCAATTGGCATTAACAAGTGACTGTCTGAGATATCCTCCAGTGAGGAAATTTTTGAAAAAGCGGCGCCCACATATCAACAGGCATTAAACGACAACGGATATAACTTCAAGCTCCGCTACGAAAAACCCCAAGCAGCAACCGGAAGAAGAAACAGAACGCGCAATATTATTTGGTACAACCCGCCATATGACCAGAATGTGAAAACAAACGTCGGCAAGGAATTTTTACAAATCGTAAGCAAGTGCTTCCCTCCAGAAAACAAACTCCGCAAGATTTTCAATAAGAACACTGTTAAGATCTCGTACAGCCAAATGCCGAACGTGAAGACTATAATAGAGGGAAACAACAGAAGAATACTGCAGAACAATACGGAAACGGAAAACAATAGAAAATGCAACTGCCCAAATAACGTAACGTATAGTCAACTTATAAGAGAAATGCCGCTGTCTGACTGTTAATTTCGGATTCACATTTAGATACCACTGTCGCTTGCCTCTACGCCGCTAAGCATTTTGATACCTATAATTTAGACTGAACATTAGACTTTTACATTATCATCATTAACTTTAACATGGCCTTCAACATTTATCGCGAAATCTTTGAAAGGCACTTCCGAAGTTTTGTGGCTGATGGTGTGCACGTCACACCATCACTAATATACGAACAATTAAAAGAGGAAGTGGATCCTGAATTGCACGGTTAGTAATTAGTTTGTTGAGCTGTATATTTTTCTTACATAAATCGTGTTTTACTTTGATCTTATCTCGTAGATCTAAAAAATAGCTACCATGTCAGGGTTCTAGATTTTGAGTGTTTGAAATACAGGATATTACTGATCCTTCCCGTTGGTTCTACTGCCCTGGCAAGCAGAATCCTGCAGATTTGACAACCCGAGGATTGTATGCAGAAGAACTTGTGTCCTCTGACCTGTGGTTAGCTGGACCACCTTGGTTGAGTCGACCCAAAGAAGAGTTCTGTGGGCCTATCGAGTGCAGTC